CCAATGACCAATGAGACAATAATTTGTGAAAGACCAGATGCAGTATTTTTCTCTATTACATTTTCAACTGGAAATTGGAAAAATCATCATACAGGGGAAGTGGTCGACTACAAACATGAAGGATGCTGCTAACTGACGTTTTATGGAGAGGGGGGGGAAGAAAAGGAAAATCGTCCATGATGTACTCGACCATCTCCACACGTTGGGCATTGCCTGTGTGCAGCGGTGGTGGTCCTGGTGAGACATCGAGCCACACAGTTCAAATTTTATCATTATATTGTATGACAATTGCATTCTAAAAAGGAAAAATAGAAAATCAAGTACCGATAATAGCAATAATAGTTATTGTTTTATTATTACTTGGTTAGCAATCTGCTAGTTGCCTTTTATTACATACATGTACCACTTACTGCTATTTTGTTTTGACTTAGACATTTAATTTACTCATGTATTTTTCTGATTAAGTACTTACTCATTTATGTTACCATACCACTTTCTTCTCATACTACCGGTAGGTATTTATTTTGAGGGATTGGCCATGAACTAGACTAGTTCTGCTGAACTATTTTCATGGTCCACACCAGAATTATTCAAACTATGTACATATATCCTTGTATATTAATTTTCCCCTTTATATATCTCAATTATTGTATACATAATTTTCTGGTGAAATAAATCAATTAATGATTTTTCGGTCTCATTACTTACTGGAAGCCTCCAAGGATAGCCAAAATGAATAAACAAAATGGCACCAGCAGAGGCATGTGGGCATTTTTCTTTGGTTATTCAGATCAAAACCAACTCACTGATTCTGGGAACCTCACGATAACTCACTTCACGAATTCTCACGCATAGTTAATGACTCACACTGGGTTGGGCGAGTTAGCAGAAATAACTCGCTTCATGAATACTCGCGCATAGTTAATGACTCACTCTGGGTTGGGTAAGTTAGCAAGATTAACTCACTTCATGAATACTCACTCATAGTTAATAACTCGCACTGGGTTAGGTGAGTTAGCAGAAATAATTCACTTATGGATACTTACGTATAGTTAATGACTCGCTCTGGGTTGGGTGAGTTAGCAAGATTAGCCGTTAACTGTCCCAAACCAAGTAGAGATCTACTTAATGTGGGTCCTTCTCTTAATCTAATCTGACTTGAATCTTCTGCTAACTTCTCAGCTGCTGGTGTATCAATAAACGTGAACTTTGACATGTTTGGATGTGGGTTCTCACCATGCCGCTGCAAAAATAGTAACATAGTGACAATCAGTCAATAAAATAGTGTAACTAGATTAAATAAATAATGGATTGATGGATAAAAATTAATGATGCATGCCTGGTACAAACTTTATTTTTGCATGACAATAGTTAGTGTAAAAAACTAAATCAAGACAATATATCTTTGCATTCTGTGTGGAAATACAGGCTAGGTGGGAACAGTTCTGTGACACATGGATGGATAGTGTACCTTACTCACAATGTATTATATATTCTACATCCATGCACATTACAGCATAATGACAAGATTTAAAATGAAATGCATTATGACAGAGATTTATCTGATAGACTTACTCACCCCATTCATAAGCCATTGCCACTATTGGGCAGAATGAGAAAACAAATATTTTATATTTTTTTAAATGATTACAATTAATAAATATAGCATACAAATAAATTATTAAATATAAATAATTTAGTGAACTATAAATGATAACTCTTTTTTGTCATAATTCTGTTTTATTTACTATTGTGGTTATGAATATACTAGAATTCAATTTATGAAAAATTCGAATTAGGTAATTGCGAAAACAAATGCAGAATAACAAATTTAAAATTAATATAACATATTACTTTGTTTTAATATGAAATCTGTCAGTGAAGTATCTGTATCCATGTACATAGCACAAAACCACACAGTGCATATCATGATTCTGAATATAAAAACTAGAATCACAGTTTGGTTATTAATATTCAGAGTGCTACACAATTTCCTGAATACATGGTAGACATAGTATAAAGTACTTTAGTAACATGATATGGATATGATGTATTCTTGTAATTTTACTTCACTATAGTAGGTCAGTGAGAATAGAGTTTGAAGGGAGCAGCTGTCTCGTACCCTTATCTAAACCCAGTATAATTATAAACGGTAGTCTGTTTAGTGAGCCTAAAGCCAGCACAATTTGTTACCAGTTTGTTGAATACTGGTAAACAAGATTTAAATGTGGTTTGTATTCACACAGTCAAAACATCAGTATTTAGGCAGTCCTAAATTTTTCTGTGTTTACATAGAGAATCTCAACAAAAACATAGACATCGGAATTGTGTCTTAAATTGTCCTGGAATTTTCCCATTAATTTAAATCAAGAATGGTGGAAAAAGTGCAGTGCAGGGCATTTATATTGCTGTTTACTTTGGTGTCAATAACATATTTATAGGTTTCAATGCTACCTGTATACTGAGATGTTAATAAGTACATCATTATATATCTATATCTGTTTTAATAAATATTATGAATACCAAGTAAATACTGGAAACCATGTAAATGTTTCTGCTAGTAATTTTAACAATTTGATACATAAAAACAGAATCTTGCAAGTTTAATTTAGTTTAATTGCCAAAATATTTTGTGATTGTCACCGACTCATAAATTTTTTTTCTCTAATAATTTACAAAGGTCAAAGATGGATGTTGTTATTGTACTTACAGCTGTTAACTCTACTGTTATTAATATAGATGCATAACAATGTGCTGATCCATGGTCTGTCTGAGTTATGGTTCGTCTTCCCCAGCCCTGACGAAATAAAGCTGTGGCATCTGCTGCGCTTCTAATTGGCGTCTTCAGAGAATTCTATAATAGAAACAATCATTTTGTGAGTGTTTGTTTATCACTGACTGACAACTCCATTTCTTGACAGACAAGCGTCTTCTAGCCAGCTTTAAACAGTCTTTTAGGGTTATTTGATTTGATCTTTGACCCAACATACAATACAAATGCATTCCCAAGTTCTCAGTGATACAACAATTGTGATGGCTATGCACAACCATCTTGAAAAAATGTAAACTTATATGTATGCATGCTCTGCCCACAAAATGTCATCAAAATGCTCATTAATATTAATAGCAACGGAACCCTTGCAAGGGTCACAATTGCCTTGCTTATTACGTAGTTATTTTATTTTATTGAAAAAAAACACCAAAAACATGTCATGTCATAGCCCCCGCTCAGAAAATAATTTAAAACTGATATTGAACTGGGTTTGTGTCAGTGTGAATTTATCCATTATGAGCTAACTAAAATTCCGATATTAATTGTTCAGAATTTTAGGGGGATAGGGTAAAAAATACAAATTGTTTCAGAAAAGCTAAATAAACAAGACATGACATGTCAAGTCATAGCCCCCGCTCATAACAAAATTTAAAAACTTATATTGAACTTAGTTTGTGTCAGAGTGAATTAATTCAATGTGAGCTGTATTAAAATTCTGTTATTAAATGTTCAGAATTGATGTGTTACAATTTTAGGGGGTGGGGTAAAAATATATTCATTTGGCTTTTCTGAGACAATTTATAACTTGTTAAACATATAATGCGATGTGCACCTGTCCCTGTACCAACTTTGAACAAAACTAAATGACACATATCTGAGAAAAAGCTGTTAACAGCTAGAAAAAGCTTGTTTTTTTTAGATTTTTGAGGGAAAAAATGGCCTCCAAGTCGTAAAACTTTATTCAATCAAACAGGG